CGTCTTGACCAGATCCAAAAGAGACCCTTCAAAGCTAAAAATGAGCTAAAACGCTAAACTCAATACTTTATACCTGAGCAAAGACTTGTACCTTTTCCAAACAAGAAAAACTAAAAATACGACTTTAAAAGAAATTCCAGTGAAACATGAAACAATAAAAGAAATTGAAATATCTAAGATTAATCCTCCCATTTGAATGTCCCATAGGCCACTGGACCACTTCTATCTCCTTTCCTATGACCTAATGTTGGACAATCCTTCAACCAAAATGTTCAATTTCCAATCTCAACACAATCTAATCAAATCCCTCATTCACAAAGTGGAATCCCACTCCTGACACCAAAATGTTGTGCTAGGGCCACGATGGCACTTTAACTAGCACTGTGAGTTCAAATGAAAAGGCCAGTGGGAGCTCCATAGTTACTCTATTCAATTCAAAAATTGAAAAACTAAAATAAGAGATGTAAATAAATAAGTAAATAGGTAAGAGAAAAAAAGACAACAGGCTCAGGCCAATCACAAGAATGAAAGATAAGTGTGAGGTGGTCACTCTCTCCACTTTCTGTATGTTTTTGTGTTGAAGTGTGATTGTAGCCCCTGGGGGAGTGACCTCTGTGCAGCCCAGCCGTGGTTCACAATCCCCCAGTGGGCCTGGATTCCTTGGCCATATTTGGCAGTTCTTTTTGGGTGAATGTTGTGCTGGTTATATGTCTCTGTGTCCTGTTCGGCTTGGCAACACTGTGGAGGTGGAAGGCGTGAGGACAGAAGCGCAAAATACGCCATTCCCTGCCACTTCCTTCCGGCATGTGCCTCACCTCGCAGTGTCTCTCTCTAGTGTGTGTTATAATCCAAGAGAGCAGAGTGTTCAGTCTTTGTGTGCTGGTGTATCAGTGTAAGTCTTGTATGTTTGTAGATCGCAGTGTCTCTCTCTAGTGTGTGTTATAATCCAAGAGAGCAGAGTGTTCAGTCTTTGTGTGCTGGTGTATCAGTGTAAGCCTTGTATGTTTGTAGGCCTAGGCCTAAACTGGTAATGTGGGTTTTCCCACAAGTCCAACCTTCCGCCTAGCAGGGACCCTTTGCTAGACGGTGGGTTGGAAAACATTTTTTCCGAACTTTGAAGTTTATCCCGGGGTGTCCTGACCGGCTTGTTGCCCGGTTTGTTTCTGACCGGCTTGTGTTGTTCCTGACCGGCTTGTTCCTGACCGGCTTGTTCCTGACCGGCTTGTTCCTGACCGGCTTGTTCCTGACCGGCTTGTTCTGTTCCTGACCGGCTTGTTGCCCCGGCTTGTTCCTGACCGGCTTGTTCTGTTCCTGACCGGATTGTTACCCGGCTTAATCTTCACCGGCCTGTACTACACCAGCTTGATCTTCACCGGCCTGATCTTCACCGGCCTTATCTTCACTGGACTGTTCTTCACCGGTTTGTTGTCACCTGTCAGTGACATCCATGTAAAAGATTTACAATAAATAAATGTGTGTTTGTGTGTGTGAGTGAGAATCCACTTGTTTTTGTTCAGCACACTGCTTGTCACGGGCACAGAACCCATAAGCCCGCTACCTTTGGCTTAACTTAACCATTTAAGTCATAAACAAACCCGTGACACAAGGGTCGCTCACCAAGTTTCCATTAGTGGGCCTTAGGCCAATAGCAAAAGCTTGGCCATGAACAACAAGCGATCAGAACAGGCGCTTGGTCATGAGCAGAAATTTAACCAGAGATAGGCGTTTGACCACGGATGAAAGTATAGGCACAGGCAGGCGCTTGGCCTCGAAAAGGTACTATATGAAACATCTCAAAAGGAGGGACACAATGCAGGCTACTAAAAATGCGCACCCTTTCAATGTTCTCTCAGGGGTCGCATCTTCTTCGATATCCTTGGGCCTTGGGCAATGCAGTACTCGGGGCTTAGACCACACTTCATCACGTGATGGTCAATATTGCTTAGGGGAACGATACCAGTCGGGGGAAATTGTACGTTATTGAGGAGTAGATGGAGGATCGCAGCAGCTCTGGTGGGTCGTTTCACGTACTGCTTCATACCGCCAAGGGAACGTATGTTTTCATTGAAGTCACCGGCCACGATTTTCAACGGTGTTTAGATGCGGGATTGTTCTATCGCTGATACTAAACAGGTGTGATGCGCTTTGTGAGCTGTTGTTGGTACATAGGCAGAGAGGCTAAAGAACTGGTCGTTGATAAGGATAGTGACTCCATCTCCACGCCTCTCGGTTAGATACGATTTCCCCCACCCATCCTACCACGTTTCTGTGATGATTACACACACTGGGTACTTCTCGGACTGTATCAAGACTTCAAGATCGTCTAATTTATTGAAAGCGGATCGAGCATTTAAATTCAGTCATTCAGCCTGACGCGTTGAGGGTAAATATCGAAAGCTTAACTCTTCCATTACTACATTTCATTATCAATCCTCTTTCAATCCATGTATTTCCGATGTTCCCTACGTATTTAGCAGACCCTCATCTCATAAATAAATAGCAAATTCGCAGTACTGATGTGAACAATGACAGTTTAACGTAAAAAATAGCAATCCTACTTTCCTTCCTGGGGTTACACTTCGTCACTTGAATTTGGTCCATCCAAGAACACAGTTACATCATCCAATAATAGAATGGAACTAAACACAATTCAGTAAGTTTGGGTGTTTGTCTTTTGGTGGTATATTTGTTAGAAACAAGGACGCCTATTCAGCTCGACGCCATTGCCTACAAAATCAAATAAAATTCCAATTGTTCCCTTGGCAGAAAAAATTACGTTTTCGTTATAAATTTAAACGTGACATTCACAGGGCGAGTGGAAAATTCGCAATTGTCCTTTTGGTGAAAACCATCTTCGCTGAGGAAAGAGCGCAGAAGCAAACTTCATGGAGATATACCATTTAGTCATATGCCAATAAAAGACAAGAAATGATTATGAGCTTCCGGCCATGAACATCTCTTCCGTAAGGATTTCAAATCAGAGAATTGAAGAAAGAAAATTCAATGGAAATAGAATCAAGTTGGACGTAAACAGCTGAATAAGTTTCAAACCAGATGAAGCCGAATCAAGCTGAATCAAGCCAGATAAAACTGGGTCAACTAGAATCAAACAAGGTCAAAATCATTAAAAAATAAGAGAACACTTTTTGTTCCGAATTATACAAGAATATGCAACTAGTCGGCCAAGATCCATTTGTTTCAGACCTATTTCTTGATCGATCCTCCAAAGTAAAACAGGAATAAATATACGCTCTCTGAGATGGTTTGTGGTGGAATTGTCCATGAGAACACGGATTTTGATATTTTCATTGTTCGCATGCATTTCGACTCGTTTTTACGGTTGTTGAAATATCTGGGGGCCAGAAGAACTCATTTCGTAAATTTCATTATATTCACAAAGTTTGCTGGCTGCATGTGGACGATTGCTTCATCTCCAGGAAGTGGAAATTCTTGATCCATGAAAAGCAAGGATTAAGCATATCCCCGAAAGGATTCTTGCTTCGATCTCCCCCAAACAAAACGCCTCTCCTCCCAATTGCAGCGTTTGAAAACAAAAATTCCCCTCTTTTTTTGCCTGGGAGTCGTTACGTCGAGGTGTTAAGTGCCTCAGTGCTTTCACGCTTTCATGTCGGAAAGTTATCGTTAATGATGAATTAGTATTCATATATATTACCTCAATAGTACCAATAGCACTTGAAAGTTTAAATGCTGAAACATGGAGGTCTTCCTTTCATCCAATGGCAAGTTAAAATTCGCGCAGTTCTAATGTCCAATTTCCCACTTTCGGCCTTTCTCAGCACAATCCAACTGCATTCCAAATCAAATTCAGTTCCTAGATGGTTGCGCACATACCAATCAAACAAGTGCGGCGGAGCCTTCTACAAATCCTATCATAAGTTGTGAAATCCACCTGTAAATTATCGAATGAAGGATGAAGGCCAGATGAAGTCGGGGGCGGAGCAAGCGGCTTACTTGCCCCAGCCCAGAAGGAAATTTCCAGGGGGGGACTATTAAATGAAAAATTGTTTAAAAAATGGTGATAAGTATTAGATGTAACGATTCAAAATTTGATCCAGCAGCCACTGTGTGGCTCTTCCAGGCTACTTAGAGAAACAGGTAATAACTCGGGCGGTTGGGGGGGGGGGGGTCAAGAATGCACTATCCCCGAGCCCCGCAACTTCTTTATTCGACCCTGGGTGGAGCGTTGTGCAACTTATGACGCACACGAGAGAAAAAAAAAACAATATCATGAATCCAACACCTCACAACCTTCTAATGTCGGTCCCTGATATTGAATAGTTTGCCTGTTGGCCACGTGTGCATATCCGCCGCCCTTAGGAGAATGTAGTGTGTCTTCTTTACATGGCGTCTTCTTTTCACGACACCAAACAAGACCTCCTTCCTTTCGCTACCTCTTGGAGAGGATATCAGTGCGACTTCAACGGTTTCTGCCGATGACATCCAACCGTGCTTTCATTCTGCGATGGAGTCACCTTTGCAGAAAAAAAGAAAATTCTGAGGCCGACTGGAAACAGTTGCCCTTTCGAGATGGAGTAAATGCCTGCGCTCCATGTGCTTACCGACACGTTTACAAATACGAATGAATCGATGCCCATCAAGTACTTCTTCGAAGGAAGTGATCGATGATCCAACTCCTTTGACTCGGGGGAAAAATTTCTTTTGAAAAAGTGAAATTGAGCTGACTGACAATTTGCATAGTTCGGAAGAACAAAATCACCTCTAAATACAAAGGAAATAACGCAGATGACGAGGAATCAGTAACTGAAAAATATTTGAAATCGTTCAAAGGCAATGCAATCGGACCTCAAATTGAACAATCCACAATTTAGAGAGTTCTCTCTGGACTGTTTAATATCTTTTAACAAGCGTGTTGAGGGATTCGAGTGTCTCACCCTACGTTGTCTATGAAGAAACTACCTGGTACCGCGTGAGGGGTACTGGTGACAAATAACTTGTCGGTATCCAATGTAGCTGAAATACTAGCTATGAGGCGTCAAATCAGTTAGTTTGGAGGAAGCTTCTTCCTTGGAATTAGTGAGATAGAAGACATGCCTGTGTCCTCCACTCGCAGCTAATGTGAGACCGATGAGATGCGCCGTCTGATGCCCATCGCAAATAAGTATTATTATTTTCTCATTTTTGTTTTCGCTTCATGCATCCATATGTCTGCATAACAACAATTTCTGGCCCCTCCCATTCTCGAATATTCAATGCCTCCGTTTTTCTTCGTAGCCCGTCGAAAAAAGAATATATTGCAGTTAAGTGTTTCTACGCGAATGCACGCAGCTTACGTATATGTTGGGGATGTTTTGTATAGGAATGGAATCAGTCGCACGCCTTCATGAAATCAAAATAAAGTTCAAATTCTGTGAAAACGATGAATCTCTTTCCTCTTCCGTGGTAGCAAACTCAATTCAATGGTGGTGATGAATCATGTCTTGCCGTTAAAAGACCTTTCCACCATTCTCTGCATCTTCTGTCTGCGTCGAAGTGGAAGCCCAGTTCTGATGAGAAACGGTCCCGAACCAAGACACGTCAGACTTTAAACGCTTGACGTACCTTTCAATGGAAGAAAAAAGGAACACCATAGAAACTGCTAACGGGCTCATAACTCATTCGTGGGTGCATTTCCTATCATACGATCTACTTTCGAGTGCATCACGGCCTCCATGAAGTCATGCAAGAAAAGTATTAATTTCCTCACATACACGGACAGCTATGAACCAGCAGAAGCTGAGTTACAAGACGAAATTCAATCCTACATCAATGAAAAAAGCGAAGTTTTGGAGAGCGATGATTCATTGTTATACCAGGTTAATCACGAAAAACACATCCATCGCTCAAAATACCTGTGATCTCCTGGAACTTTTTTCTGTGCCAGCAACTTTTCTGGAGATCTGGATTTCTTGCCAACGAATATCGTGCATACTTCGTGACGTGGATTTATGATATGTTCCCTCTCCTAGCTTTGAACTGGGAACTACAATGATGTGATACATTCAAGATCATGCCAGAATCTTTAAAAAAATAAAATGCGTTTTCCATGAAATAAATGCGCCACTTATGCAAACTCCCCCAATCGAACCATGGCCATATAACGATATCGAGCAATATATGGGTCGGCGATACTCATGCTTCAAAAATCGATATTGCCCTACTTAGTGCATAACAGTGCATGTAGGGAAAACGTCAGCCCGCGCTGAGCCATCTTCGTTATCCACATTCGGTTAATATGAGAAACTGACAAACGCCCAAAAAGCATGTTTATGCTATTTCGCGTAAAATGAATGTAAATTGTTTGTCCACCTTATATATTTTTTTACGCAAACCCTTCAAGATAATGTCAACATGTTTGCAGAAAATGTCACCTCTTTGATACGCGAACGGTAACATAAAAGTTACGTGAATTATGCGAAATATTTACATTCCTGTTTGCATCCCCAGCAGCATGTTTACATTTATTTTACGTAAAATTATTGTTAATTTCCCTCTAACATTCATGCGTATTTCACGGGCCAAATCGTATTTTTGGAGGAAATTGATTCACTGTATTTCTCCCATTCTTTTCCATACTTTTTCATGACATTCACGAGAAATTTACATTGTTTGCAAAAATTGATATCTTGTTTACGCAAGCATGTTGTTTGGGCGGGTGAACTATTAGTCGCCTAGATGTGACTGAGTTCATGGTCTATGTTTCTGCATCTCTGATCTATTCATTTACCAGTGACATTACCTCTGAGTCTCGTTGGTTCTGACTTGAAATATACCACACCATCTATGTGACTGCCTCCCTTTCATATGGGCACTTTCCACACGGGATCTGGAACTGGACCATTTCTCATTGCATCCTTCATTCATCTAGTTTTTTTCTCATTCAAGAATGCTTGTTGAGGATGCTTCACATGAACTCTTTTGCCTCACCTAGACCAACATATCCCTAAAGAAAATCAGACAGCCTCGGCAAAAATAGGACTTGTATTCAATTTATCCGCATCCTATGGAATGAGTTCCATTTGCTGACCCATCCATCCTTCTATCTCCAGGAATGTCTGGGCTGTTGAATCTGTTTAGACGAATGCATTAGGGAAATCAAATGTCTTTCACATTGTGATTTGTGAGAAAAGCATTCATTGAATTGAGTTGGTATTAGTAACGAGTTCGTCCCTGATATCACTGTAAAATCAATTATTTAGGTACCGTCTCGCTTCGTTGAGGGAACCTTTTCCACTATGATAGACGGTTAGCACACTCTTGGGACAAGTGCTGCTTGCCGCATTGGCAAAAAAGTAGAAGATACATGGAAAGCCCATCGTAACATTCGCCAATTCTCTCCCCGCTCACACACATCTGAACATTATGTGCCGCACGGTATCTACTGCACCTCACTCATATTAAACAAAAGTATTCGCGGTAATTAGAGGAATCGATTCATATCTCGGAGAATGGTGAGTCAATGAAGTCCCTTTTTTTCTAAATCATTCTGTATGTAGAAGACTAAGCACGCATGTGAGTGACCTTCTGACAGTATAACGATAATTATACCTCTGTTATAGACTCATTGAAAGGCTGAAATATTGATCGCATGTAGTTGTAGGACTGTGGGTAAGGGAGATATCCTCCTGTGTTTCATTTTTTAAGGAAGCATTATTCTCCTGAAACTTCTTAGTTCAACGAAATAGCAAAACATGTGAGAAAGCATTACTTGAAATAAGAATTCCTAACCAAGGTGGTTACGTCGGGTAAGATCTACTCTTGGGGTGATGCTCCTTTGGGAACCTTTTCTAGCAGGAATATTGAAGATTTTCTACGGTAAGTCAGAAGAAAATATATAGTTGTCATGTACTTCTGACATTTTTCATTTGACAATTTTTATAATTGAGATGCCACATCTACCCCTAGACACATTTAATTATTAGATATATACAAGGACCACATAAAAAAAACATGCCCATACATCGATGAAATTCATCCATATAACGGAGATTATCTTCACATATACAGCTTTTAGTGCTACATTTTGAATGGAACGAGGCATTGTTGAAGATGAACCTGATGGAATGCTAACAAGGATAAAACAAATGTTATATGGAGAGACGTGGCGCTAAGACAAGCACGTGAAAAGACCCTGCAATAATCCCAATGCATAGTAATGAAAGTAATAAGCCATCAAAATTTGAAATATTTCGATGAGCAGGTGCATTTTCAGCAGTTCACACTGATGAAGTTGAGGTTGTTCTCCAGATGCAGGAATGTATAATTAAACATAGGAAATTTACGACTATTACCGTTACAGAAGCAATAAAGCATTCGTTTCTTCCCTCCTGTCTTCACCGACGATATTCACTTAGTGGAGGTAGTGGAAAGGGCAAAATGGGATATCGCATGCTTCAATCTCGTCAGGAGCAACGAAACAAAAGGGCACCGTTGTCCCATTTGGATTGCGACAGAAGTTGTGATCGATTTTCCCCACATCCTCTGGGAATCTTGGCCAATAACGCTCATATAATTTGGAGACGCTCCAAGACAGGCATGGTCTCATGGACGACGTCATATTGCGAGTTCCCGCGTATTCCTCTCCCTCCTTTGTCCACCTGCATTCCGTCTTGTCTGGAAATAGAACAAGGTTGAAATAATATTTTCAGGAAGAAACATTTCTGGCCATTTTAATATATACTGCTTAGTATTTTAGGTTGCAAGTGCCTAAAAATTCCTGCTGTAATTTCCACCGCTGTAACTTTTGGCCCTCCACCGATCGCGAACAATACTGTACGTAAACCGTTGTGAATGAGCAGAAACGTTTCTTCTGTTAACCTCATCTGGGATAACTGGCGCAAGAAGTCCATATAGCGAAACCATGAAGGAATTGAAACGAAGAATGTAACATAAGAGCGAATGACATGAAACGTCGAGAGAGGAAAAACCTAGAATTTAACATGAGGTAGAAATAGTTGGAATGCACAGAACGTGTTTTCTCACACAAAGTCTTCTCCCCGAGACCATTTCTCCCCATTTTCATATCAATGTCATCTCTAAATGAATGAGGAAATTTCATTGATGGCTATCAGCCTGGAAGAGAATCCAAGATCGTCTGGAGGAAAGGTATTGAGGAAAGAAAAACCACAAAGATTCTTCTTCATTCATCGGATCATTTGCCTTACCTTACCAATCCAAGAAGTCATCAGAACCTAAAATGTTTTTCTTCGCCAAATTCCTGATTATGGACCGACCGTAGATTGCAACTACTTCTGAGAGTTTAACGTCGATTGCAACAGCGTACAAGCCCGCCTAAGAAGCTTCGAAAAACGAAGATCCTCAGAACGAAAAGTCCTTTGAAGGATGCAATCGCAGGTTTACATCTCTCCTGCCATCGGATTATTCATATTTTTACACATTGGAATTCCTCCAAGAAAAGATAAACTTGAAATGAAAAATTTAATAGACCCGACTGTGAGTTTTCAGCACTTCCGCAGGATTCAGTATTTCGTAACGACTATGCAGAAAGATAACCTGAACTTCTCTTAAGTATTATATCTGTTGTTTCTTTTTCCCTGTGCATTCGAGAAACTGGTATATTCTAAGCTTTAGGCACTCTTCGTTTTGTCGTGTTTCGCGTCTGATAGGGCACAGCAATGCCTCCAATCTCAGTTTAGGTCCCCAAACTATAGTATTCTTCATTCAATAGTACGCAGCTACGTTTTTATTTTCTCAAGAAAATGTTGGATGCACAGCCTCCATTCTGTAATTTGAGCGGCAATGTTTTTAATAAGCGAATCAAAACAAGCAAAAAAATGCAATAGTATGAAACATTGGGAAAATTGTTGGCCTTTCCAGGTATGTTGCAGAAAATAACATATCATTACAGCTGAAGTGAGAAAATTAATTTTTATTTCATGGAGAAGGCAGCACCGTCATGGTACTTTTCCCTTGGCGTCATGTGACCCATAATTTTTATTTTTCAGCTTGCGGGTTCAGTACCTACTAAACTATGCCATACAGGTATTCAATGAAAAATATTTTTTCCACGTTTCCGAAGCTCCCTATTTATGAGATTCAATCACATCAACACGCAGCTCATGTAAACTTATATTCTCTCTATAATCAGTTTTGAAGCCGACTGGTGTACCTTTTTGGGCATCACTCGATTTAAACTATATAGCGACCCATATAGTACCACATTGATTAGCTACCTCTACCCGGTTTAATCTCACTTGGGTAGGAAGGGCAGGAGGAGATTTCGCAATAGTCCCATTCTCCCAAAGGACTGACGAAACACCAAGGTCGCTCCTTCAAAGTCGGGTTCCTGCAGAAGTGCTGATGTAATGCAGCCTTCCCAAATCGGAAATGATCATCATAAGCAATTTTCTTATCAAAGCCAAGGACGTCTCTGAAGACTTCAAGAGACGAATTCATGGAACTCCAGCTGAGACAGGACTTCCCGGTCTTTGTCTTCCTCACCGTCCCCACATATTCCTTCCCCATTTCCGTTTGCAGACATTCTGGTTCTCCTACCGCCGGGTCACCTGTAATATTTCATTCACATTAATCTTCTAATCACACGAGGACAGCATTTTGGTAGCATATAGAGCTTCAGTTTTACGAGTGAATTGCTTTTCATGAGGTTAGAGCTGTAAGGAATTCATTTTCCATTCGTAAAAACATGTTACTTCTGCATCAAGCAATGTGTTAGGATACATGACCAGTTTTTTTGTGATGCGATAACGCTAGAAAAGAATAAATATAGAGTCATCCCACATCATACCGTCGATAGCAGCACGTTCATATGCTTCAAAACAGAGAGGGAATTGGCAATATTGCAATCCTTTGCCAGTTGCTTCTCCAGTGTAGCACCATGGACCGTCGGGATCCCGGTTTGGATTGCGACAGTAGTTGTGACCACCGTCCACACCTGGGTCAGGAAATGCCCCTAGATTCTGCATTGAGACTCCTTCGCTGCTTGTCCGACCCAACCAGGGTTGGCACTTCATTGACCCGAACTCAAAACTTGCTCCCGCGTTCATAATCCCAAAATATTCGTCTCCAACTTTCGTCAATTTACACTCCACGGGCTCTAAAGATGAACAACAATGAGTAAGTGTATTTCAGATCTTCAAATCATTCATAATTTAACATGAGAGCATTAGAAAATTAGTTAGTTTACGGGTCTAATATATATCACCCAAAACGAACTTCTAGAAGGAGTTCATTAATGAAATGCGAAAGCGGAACTTCTACTGATGTTTAGTACAATGAAGCAAAATTTCAAGGCCATTTGATGAAGCGATGCAGGGAAAACTTGCGGATATAGCCGAACGCCCCGAGGGATGGGGAACAGGGCAACTACACTAATCAGGCCATTTTCTGTTTTCCTCCATTTACTCCGTTTTGCTTCAATCGTTTTTCCTTCGTTTAAAGGCATGCAAGGATGACGTCCACGAAGGCATTTTCTTCAACTAGATCAGTTCGATCGAGGTCGGTTGGTTGTCATGATGTAGGAAGGCCTTAGCATGCACCAGTTTACGCATCAGCTAAGTGTAATAGTGACTACCATACGGCGTTGGTGGACTAGGTATCAGAATGGGGTCAACAAATAACGGCAACGAGGATCAGGCCCCCCTCGCATTAAGACGCCCAGGGATGACCAGTATTCGATTATGCAGATTCTGAGACCGATTCCCTTCTACCCGTGTTCACGGAAGGTACTGGTGGCTAGGGACGGTAGTCAGACAGGTCCTCTGGACCGCAGTCCCAGTTGGATTGCATGCCGGTTCACAGTCCTCAAAGAACTCCTTTGGCTCGTCCCCAGCCACCATCATGCCAACTAACCGACCTCGATGGAACTAGTGAAGTTGGCGAAACTGTTTTTGTGAACGTCATCCTTGGATGCCTTCAAAGATGAAAGAAAACGATTGAAGCAAAGCAGAGGGAATGGAGGAAAGCAGAAAAGGAAACTGGCCTGGCTAGTGTAGTCGCCCTATGGCTAGCCGTCCCTCGGGGCGTTCGGCAAGGTCAGAAAGTTTTCCCTGCATCGCTTCATCATATGACCTTGAAACTTTGCTTCATTGCACTAAACATCAGTAGAAGTTTCTTTTTTTGCATTTCAATAATAAACTCCTTCAAGATGTTCGTTGTGGGCGATGAGTGCGAACCCTCCGACCCCCTTTATATTGGGATGTTGGGCAAGTTTTCTCGGCGAATATTCAACCTACTCCATTATAGGAAAATGTATATATGTTTCCAATATATGTTTCCAACTCACCAATATTTCTTATATTATTATCCTCAACTCTTTTGAACCGTTTTGACAATTTACAATAATATGGCTACTTAACATGGTGAAATAGCCCATGTATAATCGAAATCATGAAACTACATTCTGCGACTTGGCCACCGTTGGCACAACGTTGGCTTGTAAAATAATGGCACCTTTACTCTCTACCGACACCTTCAAACATTTACAGATTACATGCCCCCCGCCCTCCCTACAATGTATAACCACATTTTGTCAACATTCTACCAACGTTGACCAAATTTTGGTAGCAAACGTGCACCCCAAATTACAAAATGGCAGCAAATCCTGAAAACCTTCAGGCAATGTAGGCACAAATAGTTCATGCCCTCTAATCACCAGGAATAATGTTTCAAACTAGAACTTTTGGATTGTTGTACGCCATCAATTCGGTTTCCGATATTCCAATAAACATTTAAAACGGTTCCAGGGTCACTTCAAATACTATTTTATACATTCGACGCATAGGACCCCCTTGGTAGCTCTAGAACTATTAAGGAAAGTGCTTGATAAAAGTGTATGCTTTGTGCTACCTGGAAAATTTTCGGCTATACTTTCTAAATTGTTACTGGTAGGATTGATAGTATCAATGTCCTAGATCACATCACTCATCATCTGACTTGAGCTCTTGGTAGTTCAGGGAATGTAACAGTTTCAGCGCGTGCCTGCGTCAGTCCATTAAAATAATTCCTTCGAAAATTCACCACAGGACTAAAAATAGTTAAAACCAAAGCTTTACTCTTTTTAAAGTGTAGTTTGGGTTCTACTCACTGGGAATGCCTATGTTAGAGATAAGTTACGCCTACATTCCTAACATCATGCTGTCCTTATATTATCCATGACTTCCTGATTTATTTATTCAGTCTCACCATTCATCAAGCAAAGTACACTAATACCTAGTCTCAACGTCGGTAAAGAGTAGTGAGAGGCAAAAATATGCATCAGGCGCACCAAGAAGAGAAGGTACGGGAACATAAATGTGCACAAAATGAAATAACACCCCTTGAGAAATAGGAAGATATTTTATCAATGTCCAAACAATCATTACCTTTGTGAGAGGAAAAAGCACCTCAAGTAAGAGAATATTTCCTCACTTTCAACTTATGGAACTGTGGAAACAGTTCCGATGTTCAAAAGACCTTCCCGACCTCCCTATCCTTCCAACTGTTTCCTTGAGCTTAGTTCATCATATTATGTACTGGACAATATCTCATAGCTATTCTGCCCAGATGACTGGCTCAACATATCTTCCTTCTGAAAAACGTCCCAATAGCGTTCCTTATCGTACTGGCAGAGAACCTCTAGATATTGCTTCTGACGGTGGAACGGTAAGTTGAGACTCGTGTAAAAAAAATATGTACAAATCAGAACAGAATCTCCAGGAGAAACTGTGAAACTAAGTATTGCAATTAGGTGTTATCTAGAATAACCTTTCAGTAGTCGCATTGTTTTTACTCGTATTCACTATTTAAGAAGAAACTCTTAAACACGGAATTCCGGCATGGTTCTTGGCCTTTGGTTAAACTTATACTGTCTTGATCCGGATTATACGTTTAAGTATAACTTCTCATAACTGTAATGCACTCCTATCGTTCTCGATAAGGAGTGTTATGAACTAGATTCTAGACGCATTTTTTTAGGTTTCTGACCTTTAAGACAGATGGGGTGTCGTTCATTCTTCTCTTTTCTTACTTTGACCCCAAGAAATTACTCTCTCTCATGCTCTCCTTGAATTTTGAGGAAATATATTGATATCGCATGGTCCACGTCTGCAGTATAAGTGGGAAGAGGCAGGGTGTGGACATTCTCATCAGGCGAGAATTTCACGGTTATAATGACAGTACTAGCCGAAGTAGCGTGGCGATGAAGGAGAATGACTTGTGGGACAGTTTTAATGCCTGCCTGTTAACCAGTAGCCGAGCAGTAAGGCAAACATCAATATACCATTTGCAATCACTGTGTGGTACTGCTAAAATCTCAGCATTCAACAAAACCTGAGACTTACAAAAAAGACAATAATCACCCCAACACTTCATTGATGCTTCATTTGTGATGGATTATATCCATATCAAAAATATGAAATAATTTTTAAAGCAAATTGAGACATCATTGTCATACACTCATGGTTTATTAAGTGCGATTTCGACGCCTATAGGCTTTCCTTCATCAAACACTTTCTGCAGGAACTCATGAAACATAAATGGAATCCACTTTTTCTTACATTATTCAGTTCGTGTTAAACTCAACGGCAACTGGTTTATATCAGTTTCAAATGGCCATGAAGGATGGGGCTTGAAGTAGCTAATGTGACCCTCTGAACAGCCTGAATTTCACCTTATAATACAAGACGGCTTTCTTTAAAAAAGGGCTGTGCAGACTCAATTTTCGTACGAATAAAAAGTCTAGAAAGCAAAACAGATGCTATAGTCAGTCATAAAATGAGCATTTGACGGAATGAGTTATTATTTTCATTATACTCTCATACTGAGTTGGACTAACATTGAGCAAATGTCAAGTACTCCTCTGAGGGAACGAGATCGCTCCTCTCGTTGTGAATGAGCTGGCAGAATCCATCCTTTTCCCTGAAGTTGAAAGCAAAGCAAGGCCGGGAGGGGTTGTCCTTCGAACATTCCATGTTGCATTGCCCAATGTCATCCGCTTTGAACTGCCGGGATACGTTCCCATATCGTTGTCCATGGTGCACGGCATAATACACGACGATATCCGTGGATGATCCATCCCAGAACAGGTAGGAGAGCACCAGCAAAGTGAAAAAGTAGCACATGTTTCTGAAACATTGGGAAAATTCAAGGCAAATAATTGCGTGAAGCGTCCTGTGAATATATTTCTGGATCATATGCCTACTATCATTCCCAATGCCAAAACAATACATAATATGCTTTTGGAGCCCACGACCGGCATAAATGATCAAGCCATTGGTTCCCCATCAAGGAGTCCCAGTCCAGGATATTTCAGCGAATATTTTTCAAGGCTTGTGAATGATGTGCTTGGCTAAGTTTCATCTACAGCGACGAGACTCACCCAGGAATAAGCATGATTCAACTCGCGGTTTTTCTTTTAGGAAGTCTTCACCTCAGCTTCCTTCATCTCCATCACAAATCCTATGACGAAACACAAAGATATGAAATACAAAATGATGCCATGAATAATTATTGCTGCATAAAATATGGCATAGGTATTATTGGGAAAAAAATGTAAATAATTGGATATTGGGTTGAACTGGACAACGAGCAGAAACATGAAAAGATGTGAACAATACTTTTAATTGCTCCGTAACGAAAGCAGGATAAGGAAACTTCTTAGTCACTAATAAATAAATTAGCTTGATGAAGTAACTGCTTCATTGATGTAAACGAAGTAGTTGGTCCTTCCGTTTTTCTTTTCCTTTTCTGCGCTTCATCGAATACGTAAGCGGAAAATAAGGAATCACCATTATGACTAAGGAAAGCTAAATGTTTGGATTTCCATTACAGAGTCACCGAAGGCCATCAAAAGAGAGGAATGGGATGAGGTGAAACAGGGGAGTTAGTAAGTGCGGGCTTTTCAAATCATTGTGTCTTCCCAAGATGAATCTCCATGGAAGCTCTGAGTTTTCTCAATCTGGAAACAACTTACCACCTTCTAGTATCACTTATTGACCTCCCATCCTGCATTTAACTTAAGCCATGGATCCAAGCCAGTCTATTTGTCCAGACGTTATCGAAATCGTGATGGCTGCATACCTGATTGAAAAAATCGCTAGACACTCAACCGTACGCTGTACCTCTCCTGCCGATAAATGACGAGTATGACGTCATATATCGGAATTCTATTTAATAGAAGGTGGAAGCGCGAATTTCATGTGAACTACATAAAGGCACCTCAAATATTAGTACCAACAGAAATATCAAATATTAGTACCAACAGAAATATCAAATATTAGTACCAACAGAATCATCTAACGAAGAGGGATATATAAATGGAATATATAATCGCTGTCGACTCCTTGTACCATGTTTGAAATTGGTTACATGCAATATTGTCTGTGAACTGAACTCGACATGTTCCGCATGGGTTATCCGTAAAATCGCGAATTATGATATCATGACGATTACAACCATAGTACAACAATTGCTTACAATTCGTCATGTGGGGTTCCTAGGGTCTATTAAGAATTCCAAATTTGGTTGCATAAAATCTTGCATAACAGTCTAGTTTTGATGAACCCGTTTCCACTCCAAAAGTGTCAACTGAGAAGTTTATATTTATTAATCCATATAATAATGATATATTGCATCTTCTAGAAAGGGGATTATACCATATTTTGACAGACTCGTTAGTTCTAGTGGCGCTTGTCCTTGAGCATCCTTGTTGGCTTGAAGCTTTTAACAGCTAAAGCGCATCTTGGGGAAAGTGTCCCACATTTCAGTTCTGATCTGGTTGCAGAACATGCAGTGTACGTTCACCAGCGTGACGATGGTAGTAACGACGATGGCAATGATCATGAGCACAACATATCATCTTGTGTCTCCTGTTGTAGGAAATTATTGCTTAAAATGAGTGCACGATTTCTTAGAGAATGGTGCCCACATCGCAGTTTAAAAAAATCTAATATTTGGATTCCCGAGACCTCGATGACGATATGGCTCATTCTGAGCAAGACTACCCAGATGGCGCTGCTATTCCTCAGCTCCCATCGATTTCTTTCTCCTATCCTGCTTATTTACATAATACCCGGATTGCCACGTAAGCAGTAGAAATCCGGGTTCCAGGCCTGTAGGAACCATTAGTCCTGCCATAACTAAATTATATCACTTTCATCTCGATAAAATGTCCATGTCTACTGCATCCACGCCCAAAACGAAGGTTGGTACCGCTGAGATTCGAAAGATTACCGATGTAAATATGAAAGGGCGTGACACAGACATGCCAAATACTGGGGTACGACGTTCGGCATTTCTGTCTCCGGAGGCGTCTAACTCCATATTTCCATCGTGAGAAAATTCAGATTCACTGATTTCATCTCACTTCCGTTCAATATGACTTTCAACGACTGGCAAGAGGCAAAAGCGGGCCTAAATCACGTTGAGATCAATATCGATACCACTCGTCACCCATATATCTTCTTAGCAAGAGACAAAACAATAATCGTGCTCGTAATCCGTTGTCATCCATGTGCGACGGGATCGTTTTCTCGATTTCTTTGCTAGGACTTACCTAATGAAACTCTTAGAGGTCGAAGTCACTCTTTCGGAAGACTCATTCTTTCTTAGAAGAATTTTCGAGGTTAGAAGACACTCGTATACATAACGTAATGTTCAATTTAATGAATCTTTGTTCGATGCTTGTTTCCTTAAGATTTACGTGATGAATGTCCAAGGAAATAAAGAATGGTACCTTCTCTGAAATGAAGCTGTCACATACAAAGAATATTTGAACTTGAAGTATTACACTCAATGTAAGAGTCCCTTGGCTACTGAAATGTCACTCTTTCTTCTTCTCCCAAATCCATACTTATGCGCCTGCACCCCTTTATTGATCTTGGATAGGCCTGTTCGCCAGATCAATAGAAATCATATGGTCCTATGTCTAGAATCCGTATAGCGTCATCGGTTGTTCTCCAGCGGACCCTCGTAATCGATTGCACTGGTTTTGTAGGAGAACTTTCTCTTAACTACTTTTTCCATGTTCCAAGAAACTCTTTTTTTACATATTTGCCTTGAGATGATTCGAGTTGTTTTGATGCTCCCCAGCTCTTCTTGCAGTTAGCTCATTCCTACATGTTGCTGTGAGCGAAACCAATAATAACCAGGAAAATATGAATGCAAACTTTCTTAGATTAGATTGGGGTCAAGCTATGATTACTCCCTCAACCTTGCCTCATCACTCCATCTAGATTTTAGGCACATTTGTGTTCCGAATAAACAGGCCCTGTTTATCAAACCCTGGGTTTGAAGGGTTTATAACATTGAGCGCGATGGATTTGGTCTATTGTATGGTCACATCCGAACGAGGGGGAACTAGCTCAAGATGCGATATCCTGAAGTGAGACTCAAGTCGCGGATTCGACTCCCGGTCGCCCCTGGCTTTCTAACGTCCTAACCTGCCTTCCAACCTCCCGATCCAGGTCATTCTCATGACGCATGCTATATCAATAAGGTCATTCGTGTCGATCGATTATGCTGTGTACGGTCCAGCCTAGCAACGGCTCTAATAAGCATAGGGGCAGCAGCATTACGAATGAATATAACATTTCCTTTTGCTCTTTGAATTTACATTTTTACGTATATAACATTTACCCACCGTTCCATACCTAATGATCTGTATTTCAAGAGCATTTTTCGGTCCATTGAGTCCATTCGGCCCATGTCCGATTTCAAAGCTTATTTGTTTTCCATTTTAGCCTGACAAGGTTACAATGAACATTAATTGAACTTTTCTTTAACCACAAACTTATTGAGCACAAGTGTAAAAGCCCGTGCACGCACGGGCCGAAATAACTCCAGGCAAAGAATATTGTTCATGCCTCTCTTCCCTTTTCTTCGCCGGAAACAGCATTTTGTGCATTTTGTCCGTTGTCTTCCATCCGGTGACTGCGACACCAGAACGTCTCTCTTTTTCGCACGTTCAGCATATCCCTTCGGAGAATATGTTAACCTTCCCCGCCTTTTTCACAGAATTTTGTGAGCAACACCAAAAAAATGAAAGTAATAACAGGGAGCTCTAACTGAATGCTACACATTTGCCTGAAACCCTGTTCTAAACCCGAGAGGAGACTAGTAACACAACAAAACTATTATGATTGATATGATGATTGTCTGCCGCTACCACAGCAACTCTTCCGTAGCCGCGGATGTCTCGTTCTCTCATTGTTGGATTATGAGAACTTCGCCAGGGAAGGCATTCCTGACAATGTTGTTCTCATCTCCAAATTTAGACCCTCCAATGTGAGAGGAGCCGAACTTTTACAACTTTTGACACAATAAGTATCGCCTCCATGAGCTTTCGATTGGCAATTATATATTTTAAAAGATACACACCGGACGAATTTGGAACTCCAAAGAAACAAATGGAGTAATGGTTGGGGGGGCTCTCGTCATCAGAGACGACAACTTTTCCGCATG